ATCTAAATTCTAATTTGGAAAAGCTTTCAGGGGTTGCGCTACTGTGGAGCAGAGGAGGGCAGAAGAGGTGGGGCCAGAACACCAGCTTATTGTATCTTACTATCAGGAGCTTAGAGAGGTATTCAACCTTTTTGACCTGGGGCAGAGGGGAGGCTGCACCAAAGAAAGGAATTCACCCAATGCAGTGGCTAGTGCAAGGGGCTCTGGCCATCCAGCAGGAACAAGTCCAGCTGAGGCATGAATCAAAACCTGGAAAAAGTACTCCTGACCATAGTCAGCATGTAAGTTATTAATAATAAGGTCAGATCCAGAACTACATGAGTGAAAATTACTTCCAGGAGACTGTAGAGGCCCAGAAATTAGTAAAATTGTTCAAATTGGCTTGGTGGGCTTCTTGCCTCATCCTGAATGCCCACCTGATACCAAATGTCCAGGTAAGATAATCAGGGGTTACAGGAGTCTTATTGCTAAGATCTTTAGGATGCTTCTAGATGAGCACACTGAGCAAGCAGACAGAGGGGCCTGTGGCCCAGACACAGACTGTGGTGCATGGAAATGCTGCTGAAAATTTCAACCCTTCAACTGGAAGTGGTGGGAAGGGCAAATGGCATGAGGGTAAGAACCGAAAATGTCTACCTGTCCTCAGGTTTGATCTGTGCTGGGGATTCTCTGGGTGTTGCTGTTTTTTTTTTTTTTGTTTTTGTTTAAATAAAGAATCTAAAGGATTCTTATACATTATGTCATCTATTACTTTGATAGTTTATATTCTGTATTTCAGGAAGTATTGTTGTGATGAGAATACTTTCTGGCTTACACGCAACTGAAGGAAATGGTAGAGCAGTGACTTTCTATGACATGAATGGCGCTTGGACATGGATTAGTCTTCTGGGTCAATTAAAGTATCACTTGCTGACCAGCCTGCCACTATTAAGTGGTAAGGGCACAATCCTGTGACCCTCACAAGAAATATTAACACATGCAATAGCGAGGGAAGAAAAGAGGTCTTATCAGCATTCAGTCATGGCGGAAGATGGTCTTGGAATGAAATACCAATCAAAGATGAACACCAAGCCACGAACACCATTTATGGCTGCACATGCCACTTTTTCTGATGTGAACGCTGAAGGCACAATGCCTCCCTTGCATTAGTATTGTGACCTCACCAACATTTCTGCATTAGCTCACCACCTGCCTTCAGCTAAGGACTGCAAGCTACCTGCGGTGTCTGGACTGTGGAAGGGAAGGGGTAAGGACTGGCATGCTTCTTAAGCCCTTTAGAGCCCAGAGAGCTAAATGCAATTGCAAAAGCCTCTCCCAGTCCACTTCTTAACAGTTCTTAATGGCAAGTTGGGGTGGATCTGGGCAGATCTATCCCACTTGCCAGGCCTGAAGCACTGTGCTAACGGATCAGAATCCAGAGCTCTGGCTGTTGTTCTGCACGTAGTGTGGTAAGGCATTGATATGGACTCCATGGGGAACGGGCATCCTGGCTCCTTAATGTGAAGACGCCGTATATTCTGTCAGGTCTTTGTTCATCGAACCCTGTTGTCTAAGATACCTGGCGGAGATCTTTTCCTGCTCCCCAAGATCCTTTTGACTGAGACTTCCCCATTTTGATCTTCATCGCCAGCAGCAATAGCAGCAGAATATCCCCAAATTTCATTTTATTGGGTGGTCATGGGGCACCTTGCTAGAGCATTGGTTTACGGAACCAAATAAGCTTTAGATACAGAAGTCCCCTTTGTGGGTAATGATATGAAGAAGCACCATACATAGAAAGGGGTAGCAGGCTGTGCCTTTGGCCATGCCCTGAAATTTCTTGGCCCTGCCCTTGGTGCACATGTTATAGATAACGAAGCCCTACGTGCACCGGTTTCTCTGTGTGTAGACTTTCCAAGAGTTTGGGAAATTTGGTTATGCAGGGTTCCCAACATGTGGAAAGCACCCATGGCTCAGAGGCCCCTGCATAACACATGGGTGACAGGGATAGAGCTAAGAAGCTGTGTGACCTTTGTTGTGGGCCCAGAGGAACAAATTCATAGCACCCTTCTAGGCATGATGCTCCTCACATGCTACCAATGGAGCATAAAGGGGACTCTGTTCTCCCCAAAATTGTCACAAACCATGAAGCAGTTTAGAGTTTTGAAATCTGAAATAGAGTAACTTACAGAAGTTGCTTGCAGAGATGGTTTCATGGACAAAGATTAGAGTCAGCAATGAAAAGACCAATAGGAATCATGCTATGGTTTGTGATCCACCCAAAGTTAAGTGCGTTCTATGTTCCATTGGTTTCAGTGGGAGAGCTGAACAGGTCTTTCCAGTTTAAATTAATAGAAGTTCCATGTGATTTTAACAGGATTAATCCCTTAGGCATCATTCTGCCAAGAGGTTTTTATAGGAGGAGGGCTTTTAGCACTGCTTTTCAAAAGCCACCATGCAGTTATTTCATTTCCTCTTATGTTTCTTGTAAGAAGAAAAGAAGGAACAAGAGGTGGAAAAGCATGGGAGGGTTACAAGTATAAAATTCTGTGGAGAAGGCAGAGTGATCTGAGAACCGAAACCACATCTGAAAGTGTTCCAAGTTAGATCACCTTTAGTTCCCATTAATTTCTGTGCATGTCAAGCACCTTTAGATGTTGATTCCTTTGTGGAGGGTTGGATTCTGCTTCATTATATCTGTGCCATATTCAACACCTGATCAAGATAACTTCATGGCTTTTATCACTGAAAACAAATATATTGGAAAGTTTATAATAAATCTAATTGACCTGTTCAAAATCAAAAACAAAGGAAGAAAACAAGGAAAATAATTATTTATGGGTTCAAACTCAGAACTAAAAGGAAAATAAAATATAACAAGTACTCATTGATCAGAGCGTCCTATACATGACTATTGGTGCAGTTTATACATTTTAATAAATAATGGTTTATGGTGTAAAAATAATAGTTTATGGAGATGTGCTATGAGTTGACTTCCAGGAATAAGCTTGTATTAGAACAAAGTATGCAATCTCATCACCTTTACCTTATGATTCTAGGACACAGACAGAAATACATCTTGCTTGCAAGGGCTCCCTTGTTCCTTTCAGTGGAGGCAATTGCTGATTGCACATATGTACTTATTAAGAAAACTAGCTGTCTGTCCCTCCAGTGAACAGTGAAGTCTGCTCATGAAAGTTCCTGCATGCACTATGAAGCATGTGCAAAACTTTGGATCAGGTCAAATAAGTGCAGTGTTCTGAAACACTAGCCAGAGATAATACAGTGGGCGATCTTGAGTTATCCTGCCATTCTTAATAATATGACATGAAAATTTAGGAAAATCAGCTCACCATTTTTATGACTTTTAACACTTCAGCACCTTTCTCGTTTTTGAAACTCCAAGGGTGCAACCCTGTGCATATTAGAAACAAGTCCTATAGTCCCCAGCCTTTCTCAGGGTTGGTTTAGGAATGATGAGAGTTATAAAATGTTTTTCTGTCTCAACATGGATAGGATTACACATTAACTTCTCCTCCACCCCCATCCCAGTTTTCCTATGCCCTTAAGACTGACAAGTGAATGTATAATATTTATTTTTAGGCTGTGGTTTTTCAGAACACCTTTTAATATTTTCTTTCTTACATTAAGAGACACAGCCTCTTAGAAGGTGATGTTTTGTCAGGTACCGTAGCAATAAAGAACCTCGTGGTGGAAGTACCTGAATCCACCATACCCTTTAGCTGTATCTGGCATAAAACATTATCTGGAATCCAGTGCTACCTATTAAGCATCTACAGAGGTAGGCCTGGTATACAGATTTCTGAAAGGCATGCCTACTTGCCCGGCTAGACTTTGTGCCTAACCGTTGTCATTCCTCAGTTACCAGATCTATCAGAAGTGGTGGACCTGTTCCTTGATGACCTGCCCCCCATGGTTTATATAAAATGGATAGTAGAGCAATACCTTTATGGGGCAACCCAATCCTCCACAAAATTATGCAAGCTTTCAAGTCCCACAGAACAGAAGTAGGCTGAAGGCAGAACTGAATCTACTAGTAGAGTTTCGGTGAATTTGCAAGAATTATTGATTTCTGCTTAGCGATGTCAACAACAAAATGAATTTCCCTTGTTCTTCCAAATGTTTCTAGGTCACTTGAAGTATTTTAGCATATTGCTGTCAGCAGCACAGAATTTAGCAGTAACATTTTTAAAAAAGACCATGGACAAAAGCTTCCTGTTTGTATTGATGGAAAATTAATATTTGCATGAAATGAACGAAGTATGATTGCCATAAAATATTTTATATAGCTCATCATACATAATAAATATTTTATTACAAATTCTGTGACTTTTGTGAAGATTCTTATAAGTCTAACAAAATTGAAACAATGTGTACATCATTCAAAGTATGTGACTTAACAGCATGTAAACAACTGGTATAACATATTTCCATGAAATATTTTTATGACTTCTAGATTTATAATGTTCACCAATATGTGAGTCAGCAAGCATCATGTGCTGAATTCTCTTGATGCAAATAGAAAGATACACCGATTAGGGTGTGGGGCACCATTTTGATAGATGTTTGCTTGTTCAAGTTCCATCAGAATGAGTGAGAGCTGTGCATTAATTCTGCACTGCTGTTGTACAGCTTCCATATATTTCTATTGATCTTACACAGAATTATCCAGTGAGATCATGTCCTTGAACAATGAAGTCTACTGCCTGATTTACCTCAAGATTATCCAAACTAAATTCTCACCATACCAGTACTAATTTTCTAATGGGTTTTAATCAGTAATATACTGTTTGCTTTACAATCAACTTCCAGTGATTGAGTGTATTCTATGATGTTTCATTTTCAAAGAGATTCTAAGTTGAACTTTATGTTATGATTTACTATTGCAGTTGTGTGGAAATTAAAGACACTGCTATAGCTTCACTTTATATTTTTGCATATATTGTGTCATTTTTCAAAGTCTTTGAATTCAGTAGACTCTCTGTTGCACACTTTTTCAGATGACGGTTGCTGCTGGTACGAGCATTGAGAATAACATTCAAAGGACCATATCCTGCCCTAATGTATGTTCTACATATCTTGGATTTCTGTCTGGTTTTAATGCAAAATCTCATTATGTGAATTTGCTGTAGTCATCCACAACATCATATGCATACTGTGTATTATACTACAAGTGAAAGTTCTAAGCTGCTTCTCAAACATCCTCTAAGTCTGTGATTACATCGTCACAGCACTGAGCTGCATCCTCACAGCTCTCTCTCCTAGCATCCCTAATAAAGGATGTAGGCTCTTAAGCCATGTTTAATTTCTAAATTGGGCCCAGTTACCCCAAGTACTTAAGCTATTATCTGTTAAGCCTTACTCATCTACTTGTAGTATAATTGCAGCATTTACATTCCACACAATCCACTGTCAACCAGAAAAAAATGTCTGTAGAAGATGAACTACTTTGCTTCTTTCATAATATTAAACAAATCTCAGATGTAAACTTTAGAATGCTTTAAGAACCTGACTTTTGGGGCTTTTCTCTCACACAGCACACAATATGCTGTAGCCATGTTAGTCTGTGGCAGAGAAAACAACAGCCTTGTGAAGCCTTAAAAAATAATATATTTGTTCTGAAATAAACTTTTGTGGTCTACAGTCTGCTTCATGAAATGCATGAAGTGCTATCCTGAATTCCAACTGTATGTATGCATAGATGGATAGACTTTTAGATAGTGAGGTCAGGCCAGGGAGGATAAGTACAGAAATAATAGACATTGCTAAAATCCACTCATTAAAATCTCTGTGGTACATGAACCACAAATGTAGCCAAGTAGTTGCATGAATTACATACATACTGGACAATTATTTGAATCAGATGTTCTAAAGTCATTCATATAATAACAATACCATCTGGCACAGCATCACAATACTATTTATGTTCAGTCAAAAGTTAGTATTCTTGAGTTCAGTGGGGTTTATTCTCAAGTAAAAGTGTTTAATATTGCATCCAAAATGGTTTGGGTTCTTGAAATAAGTTATTTAATTTAGTGTCACTATGAATGTTGGTTTGTTCCAGTATTTTTCTACCACAATAGATTAATTATGCATATTTTAGAGTTATACATACTTTAGAGTCATTAAAATGGTTTACAATCTAACTACATTAATTGCTGCAGAAACTTACATTAGAACTTTTGTTATGATAAATGGGTGGGGATTATTTCAAGGAACGAAGCAATGTTTATTTTAAAATTTAATAGTCCAAATTTTGGACTTCTTGGGTAGCTTGGGTGTAACTATTAGAAATATTATAAAATATTACAAGATGTGACATAAACAACATAAAATACTACTAGCCTCAATCATTCTCTCTCTCCCATATTTCCTGTGTATATAGGTCCTGGGCAAATAAAAATCTTTTGATGCTAGAACAAGTGAACTTGTATTGTAGGGGTTAGCTATGGGCAGTAGATCTTTCCAGATGAATACAATGTCATCCTGGTATGGTACGTGAACTAGAGGTTTTGGGAGAACAGTAAATGAGGAAATATTATTCTAAGTCAAAAATGGATATATTGGAATATTAAGGAGCTATGTGGATACCAATATTTATGTTGGTGATCTGAAGAGACAAGTCATCCCCAGACCTGAAATAATGGTGTCTGAGGACAAAGTGACACAGTTTGGGTTCAAAATGTGCTGTAGCATCAGCAATAATATTCTGGATGGCTTATAGTCCAATGTTGAAGCTGGAGTTATTTACTTATTTATTTATTTAGACAGCTTATATGCTGCTCCCATCACATAAGCCTCAGGGCGGCTTACAATGATTAAAATCCTGCATAAAATACAAAAAATTCATCAAATAAATAAAATACATAAGATAAAATAGTGGAAACAGCCTGGTCAATTTAAAATGAACAAATAAACCATTAACAGTTAGCATATGGAGCTTCAGCAGCTATGATTTCCAGGACAGTATTCACTGGGAGACTGTCAATGTAGTTTCTTCAGGCAGTCACTGGTGCTCTCAAATAAATTTTGACAGCCATGACATAGAATCTGAGGATGTCATTAGTATAGGGCAGTGATGGCAAACCTTTTAGAGACCGAGTGCCCAAACTGCAACCCAAAACCCACTTATCGCAAAGTGCTAACGCTGCAATAAAACCTGAAAACTGAGGTTTTAGTTTAGAAAAAAACAACTCACAGCCAGTCAAAGCAAATATATATATCCTTGGCAGTGCACTGACCTGCCATGCGAAAGCTCAGATGAGTCACAGCTAATGAGTTGTGGCACGTGATGTCACCGCCTGATGCCACAACTCCTTCCCAAGCATGCACATGGCCCCTGTGTGCGCTGTTATCTGATGCTCAGCTGCTGGGGCAATGCTAGAGTGACTTGGCTGGTATGCCAACAGAGAGGGCTCTGCATGCCCACTGTGGCACAGGTGTCATAGGTTCACCACCACTGACATAACCCTACCTTGGTGCACTCCCCTAATCCTAATATAGGGTGAAAGTTCCATTAAAAAGAGGGCAATTTTGAAAAAGCCTTCCTTGAGTAGCCTTTTCTGCACAGCTCAACATTTCTTCCCATTCTAAACACATTCCAACCATCAAAATCATGCCAGGACGCCTCCTTTTTCTAACCCTAACCTAGTGATGATGAATGTTTTAGAGGCTGAGTGCCCAAACTGCAAGCCAAAACCCACTTATTTATGGCAAAGTGCCAACACTACAAGAAAACCTGAAAACAGCCAGTCCAAGCAAATATATACATGTCCTTGGCAGTGTACTGACCAGCCATGCAAAAGCTCGGACAAGTCACGGCTGATGTGTCACGGGTTGTGACATCTTCGCCTGGCACCACTACTACTAACTGAGCATGCATGTGGCCCCTATGTCTGCTGTTATTCAATGCTTGGCTGCTGGGGAGATGCTGGGGTGACTTGGCTTGCGTGCCAACAGAGAGGGCTCTGCATGCCCAGTGTGGCACACATGCCATAGGTTCGCCACCACTGGTATAGGGAGACATTCATACTGTGATAATGCCTAAAACTGAAGTATCTGGGACTGGGATTGGAAAATCCAGGGAAGGAAAGTCCATGGTTGGGGCAGCTGGGTTGATACTGGCATATAGCCAGAAACTATGGAACTAGACTTCTGGGTCACTGTGAATAGCAAATAGGAACAAATTAGTTCTCCCATGGACAAAACACTGCCTGGCCCAGTATGTGACCAGAGATTATCAATACTGCTTGGTGAGTTATAGATGTTCCTGTTATGGCCCATGCTGGAATTCAGGAGGTTGCACAGCTTGGTAGCTTTCATGTAGCTAAATATACATAAGAGATTACTAGCATTGTCCCTTATGGATTTAATCTGCCAAGTGCAAGAATGAGTATGGCAAGATTGTGGAACATTTGTGAGTTCCAGTTTTGGGAGTATGAAGGTGATGCCAACCGAATGCACTGACCACCCAGGACTACATTCCACATAATTATTATTCTGACTTGGTTTGCCAAGTCATTGGCTCACTTGGAAAAGGGTTCTGCTTAGTTATGGCAACCAAGTGATTGTTTGAACAGCTGTAGCAATCACAACAGTAGGACTGTACCTTTGGTTACTCTAAGCGTCGCTGGCTAATCTGATTCCAAAATAGTGGATCATTTGTGTCTTTGCACAGATTGGAGGGTGGAAAATCTTGTCTAGCATTGCACCAAGGAAGACACAAGAGGAGTGAGATCCTACAATTTGTTCAGCTTTCCAGATATGCAAATTCAAAGAAAGAGTAACTAATTTTGGAAGTTTCAGATTCAGCTAAATATTCCCTAGAAATAATTACCAATAAGGAAGTACAGATGTAAGGAAGTACAGATGTAATAAGAATTTAGGACACATTGATAACTATATATGACTAAGTATGGTGGAAAACCAAGGGTTGTGATATCCAATGTGTCTGCAGAATCAATTTGTAAAATAAATTCAGGTTATTCAAAAATCTTGAAAAGTGCTTCATCTAATCAGAACTGAGAGGTGGATGCAAGAAATACTTCCTTATATCTAGTGTCTAAATGTACCATCCCTGAAATTAAAATACCTTTAGTTCAGGGCCAGGCAGATTATACAAAGCCAGCTTAAAATTTCTCAGATCTACTATGGATGATTTCCAGAGTAACTCTACATTATGGCAAATTGATAAAAATAACAGCCTATTGATACATTTTGAGATAAGGAAGGGAATCTTCTTTCAAATACCTTAATGTCAAAATTATAACATATAAGTATAATAATGGTGAAAAAGGTTTAATGTAATCTATTTAAAATTGTTATTAGGCCACTTTTAAAGGTGGATCCCTCTCAAGGTGATACATGAGATATAAAAAACACATGAAGGTAATGTAATAAACATCAGTAAGATCATATCCAATTAAAAACAGCAATTATCAATAGAAATAGAAGCTACCAATAAAAAAACTACCTAAACAGTGAAAAGAGGTGAATCTTCAGACCCACTAACGATTTAACAAGTGGGAACTTGCTATTTTAAACATCAATTATCTGGAACTACATTGATTTAAAAAGCAACATATTTAACACACTGGAATGCTTTTTAAACAAGGAACAAGAGGGGTTGTTGCACCTACTTGCCAACAATAAACTAGCAAAAGCTATGAATTCATTTGTATGCATTCAGACTTTGAAGCCTGGTTTTACTTCATCCTTCTACTGACCTCAATTTTCTTACTATCCCTTTTAAGTTTATTCAGTTTCTCATTATTCTTGTTCACATGAGAAAAGTTGAACTATGCAATGAAAGTTATACTCAGTAAAGTACCCTCTTCTCAAACGATGCCAAGCATATGCCCATGAATAATAGGAGGCTGCATTCTGTAGTTGACTATTTCATGGGAAGTTGTAGTGTGCTGAATAAAAGGAGAAATGTTGCTCCCTGCAGATCTATGCGTGTGTCCATTGGCCTCCAGCAGCTTCAAGAACTGTGTGCACTCAGTGAACTGGCTTAATCCATACACTGTAACTTTCACTGCTCTTCTCTGTCTTCCTCTGTAAT